AAACCTTTGATTACCTAGAGCAGGGGTAGGCAACTCCAGGCCTCGAGTGCCAGTGTCCTGCAGGTTTTAGATCGCACCCTGGGTTAACACACCTGAATCAAATGATTAGTTCATTACCAGGCCTCTGGAGAACTTCAAGAAATGCTGAGGAGTCATTTAGCCCTTTAAATCAGCTGTGATGGATCATGGACACATCTAAAACCTGCAGGACACCGGCACTCGAGGCCTGGAGTTGCCTACCCCTGACCTAGAGTAATGTGACATGTCTGAATACCTGCTCAGATTTTGCTGTTAAGAATACATGTCCGCCACTCCATACATGGCTTTCTTTAAAGAGGGTAAACTAAAACTATTTTTTTTCTTAAACCATCTATCTGAAGAATGTGGATTGTGAAATCAATTTACTCCTTTGGCTGTCTTTCCTCTGTGACTCCCCACTCCACTCTCAACTATTACTGATGTTGATCTCTTGAGCAAGACGCTGAATCACCAGCAACTCTGCCAACAGTAGATGAGACTTCAGCAGCACCGTTCCATTAAGATGATTTGATGCTTATTGCACCTTCCACGGTTCATTTAAGTTGTTAATATTTAATTTGGCTGTAGTTGAAAATATAACCATATCTGTCACATGCGACTGCAATGAAGTAATATAATGCTTCATATTATTAAGATGACTCAGCATCAGTTGGCTGTGGTCAACTGCAATAATAATTACGCAACTAGCATTTGTGACAATCTGTGGTGTTTGAAGTTTTGCAGAGGTCATTGTCAGCACATTTCTGTTATTTTAACTCAACAGAAAGTTACTTCTGTACAGTTAATATTAAGAGCAGTGACTCTTTCATTGAAGTCTACCTATTCAGGGATCCTTTTGACTTATTAGATTTCAAGGTCTTTAGCTGCAAGTAACTGCTTTGAATGTGCTGGAATCTCAGTTTCTTCTGCCTGTCATTGACGGCTGTCTCAAGTTTTTTACTCCACTAAATAAGAATTTATGATGTAAGATATTAAACAGTGTCTCTGCCTTCCTTTCCCTGTCCTCTTCTGTCATTTGCCTACCAAATTGCTCGTCACATATTATTCACAGCCTCTACATACAGTCAGCAGTCTGCATGCTTGTACAGAAACTGCTTTTTTTATTTTATTTTTTTTAATAAATATAGGTTGTCACTGATGAAACGCTACGATCACACTGATGTGAAAGGGAAAAGAAGTAGCTATAATCTTGGCGTCTTGCACTCGCTTATCTCGCATGTTATGAATTCTACCCACTTGCTCACTGTTTAATTAATTTCATGCCTGTGAGGTTGATAAAACCAATTTAATCACTCATCAATGCTAGCATTATGAAAGTGATGTTTGCTTTTGAATTCCTATGATGCTGACAGTAATTGGGGGTCTTTCCAGCAGCCCATCAACGATGGGGCAGACTCTTTGTGCTTTCTGTCATCTGTAAGATTTTGACTTCTTATGTAATGTCTCCTCATTTGACAGAGATTTGTTTCTATTGACTGTGTGCCTGCTGTTTTAGTATATGGTGTGTGCTGTTTAGTGTGCTGCTTATTTGATCTTTTCACTCCTTTTCTCTTTTTTTGAATATTTGTCAATATTTCTGTGCGTGCGTGCACTTTTTTCTTCCTTCCAGGAAGACGCAGTGGTACCACTGAGCTCCCACTCACAAGCTGTCAGCGTTACACAGCCAGAGGCGGATGCTCTCCCCGATCTGCCCCACTCAGAAAATAACAGTAAGACCTCCTCCTCTGTCTCTGTATTACACTTGAAGTGCTGATTACTTGCTATCTTTCTGTTTCACTTTCCTCTCCCTCTGCTGTCAGCTAGACTCCAGTTCAACTGTTTGCATTTACACCTTAACCAGAGTGAGTCATTTCCTGAATGGCTTGGTGTGCTGTTTGTTTAGACGAGACAAGGCTTTACTAAATCGTGCAAGATGATCACATGCTACTAAGGAGTCACATCACTTATGTTTTAATGACCTTATGCTGTGTTTATTTTGGTTGAACTTGTATTTGGTAAGCAAACCCTGCAATACTGTTTCTTGTTATCTTTATCCTATTTTATTTACTGGATAAGGAAGTTGCAAAATTAACCTTTTATGATGATTATTGTGGTTAAATATGACCTAGAGAGGGGAAATGTGGTACTAATGTATATGTATATGTGTAATTATAACTAATGCTCATGTACTGTAAACTACACCCAGTTTGCACTGAATTAAGTGCAAAATATTACAAAAGAGAAACTCGTAATTGTGAAATAGCCTATTATATTCACATTATTTCATACTGATAGTCTATAAATAAACTACCTTTGGCTCTTGTATCAGCAGGTGCAGAGGCTTGTGAAAATGGACAGTCTGACTCCTGTGGTCCAGCTGAAACTTTGAGAAACCCACCTGATCAGAACCAAACTATAACTCCTGTTAGCACCCCTCCCCCAGCAGCTGATATGGTTTCTCCCAACAGCACCTCACCTGGATCAGACGAGACCATTACCCAGACTGAGAGGTGACTGACAAACATTTGACTTTGCTACCAGGAAAAAAAAGACTCTTGGATTGCTGTCATTGACTTTTTTGTCATTGCCACTAGGGGGCGCCAAATAATAGAATTTTGAAGTTGTTTGCAAGAAAGACAGTTGTAATAGCTTACATTAAATTGTGAGGCTAGTTTGTTGCAATCAGTTCACAAGACTTGATAGAGCTGCAAAACAAAGATACTTTGTGTTTATTTGTGCTGAGAGAGTGAGAGTCATCAGTGTGCAAATGGGAATTTCCAAAAGACAGAATATGATAATGAAAGGGATGAAGAGAACCAGAGGATTACTTATCACTGATGATCAACTAGTGATGTGGTAATTTGAATATATTGTGAATTGCAACCAGATCTAGTGTGAAAGTTGGTATAGAAAATAAATAGAGATGAACATTTCCTGGTCAGCCTTTTCCTTCAGTGCCACTGAAAAAGATCATTGTGTGAGGTCTGAACTGGTAAACCTCACCTGGGGCACAGAAAACGCGCCTCTTTAATACACAATATAATTTTGTCACTCCGTCTCACATGGTTATTTTTGAATAGCAGCATAAACGGCCTCTTTTGAATTGGAACTTGAAAGGAATTATCAGTAGTCACAGTAGTCATAACTGAAGCAGTCTTTCATGAAGTTTGAACATTTCCCTGCGACTTGGGCAACATTTGCTAGTCAAATGGGCGTTTTCATTGCTGTGGGAGGAGTGCAAAGGCTAATTGGTATCTCTGTGCCCATGCTTTGCATAGGCACAGTCTACCTCCACAGAGATGAAGTCTGTTCCTCATCTCTCTTGCTGCCTTTCACTGTGTCAGTTGGCTTATTAGCTAGCTAGAAAGTCTATCAGGCATATCAATAAAGAATCCAAAAATTGACAATACCTAAAAGCTGATCTCTGATCTTTCAACTGTTGTCGGCAGCCAGCCAACCAGTGTGGACCACGAAGGACAAGAGAAGGGAGGCAAGGTGGGCTCAACTGCCGGAGACATGAGCTATATTAAGGTTAGTAGCAGAAGAGAAGTGCTTTAATGCATAAATGAAAACAATTTCCTCTCATCTTTTCAGCGCCCACTCGTGAATACTTCCCCTTCCTCTTTTTGACTTGTTCTGTTTGCAACTTTGTATGTGTTCAGTCAGTGAAGGTGTATTATAAAGGGAGGTGGAGTTCAACAGGTTGGGCAGGGGCTGGGTTTTCCTTAGAAAAGCAAAAAGGTATGTGATAGACTGATCAAGCTAGTTACATCAGGAGTTATGGGCTTGACTGTCAGCTTCCCTCAGCTCAGTTAACATACAAGGCAAGTGTGTTATACCTCATACTGCTCATGAAAGTCTCTGTTAAAGTTCTTTAACTGTTAAAGAACTTTAACAGAGACTGTTTACTTCAAGGTGTCTCAGGTTTGGGTAGTTCATAAAAAA